GTGCTGATGATGACAACGACAATGAGCCGGGTCCTGGAGCAAAAACTTGACAAAGTATTCATAGTAAAGCGCGCTCTCAAAGCGAGACAGTGAAACTTGTCACTGCAAAGTTGCTAAGTCAGAAGCCTGATGACTCTGTGTCACTCACACTCCAAATCACTGGAAAAAATGGGAAAACAGATTTTATTTGCTAATCGAAAATATGAATATAATGATCAGGAACTCCAAAAATATTTTAATAAAATAACAAAATATCAAATTGGTTAATTTTTAAATGAGTATACACTACGTTCCCTTTAATTTTCAATAAAATTTAAATTGTACTAAGTTTAAGAAACTATTAAAATATGTTGTTTTATTTCGAATCTTCACATATACTACTTTTCTTTCAGTGATTCCAACTCGCTTCTTCTTCTTCTATTTCGTTAAACTGAGTGGGCGTGTACACGAGTTTGAGCTACTGGGCGTGGCAGCTGCTGCTGGTACTGCTGCTACTGGAAAATATTATAATAATAATATTATATTATTTGCTGGCTCAGTCGGTTGGCCAAAACTTTGTCGGCTGCTCGACGGGCGGCTCAACTTAAATCCTAATCACATACGCAGCAAAAGAATCAAGTTAAGCCAGCCAAACAGCGATTCAAGTACGAACCGCCATGTCATCACCTCAAGGGCTAACACACGCACACTTACACACACACATACCTATACCTACACTTACATATACAGCAACAATCGCAGACGAACGTTAATGGCAAATTAGATTGCGCATACGCCTCGTTTGCACTCGAATTCCCTTTGATTTGCGAACGCGAAATTCACACGGTCCTCGGAAAAACAAAACTAATGCGCAATTAATGACATCCGCTTAGCGGGCCAAAAACTATGCAACATTTTTATGCGGAGCGGCAATTTTACGGCGTCATAAACACGCCACCAATGGGCGTGTAATACGCCCCCATTTTCAGCGCGACTTGTCGCCGCTCATCATAAAACCCCGGTATCTTCATTAATTGACCAAACCCAAGACCCTCGAGTGTTCTCGCCTCTGGCTTTGATTTTCTTTGGGAAATGCTCCTTGATTTTTCGTTTCATTCTTTTTTTTTGGTTTCTGTCTTTTGGCGCGGCTCACGCGAAAATGCCATTAAATTGATGGGTCGCCAGAGTTTGCACGATTCACAGTCAGCAGAAACAATTAAAAATGTTATAAAAATGTTATATGCAGGTCGGTTGGTCCGCTTTTCCGTCCGTCCGTTTGTCCGTCCGTCTGTCCGTCCGTTGGTCCGCTGGTCCGCTGGTCCGCTTGTCCGTCCATCCAACCGTCGCCTGTCGATATGGACAGTGCTGATAAAAGCAAACGGCACTTAAACGTGTCAACAATGGGCACGACAAGCGCAGCAGCCTCGAATTGATGAACAAAGGACTCTGCAGGCACCAAATACCAAGCTTTCCACCCTCCCTCCCCCTCAAACACCCCCAATCCTTCCCCGAATTTCCCCCTCTTTCTGCAGAAGGTTGACAAAATTTTTTGCCCTTCCCTTGGAGAGGGTTGCGCGGGACAGATTTTCGCAATCAGTTTTATGTTGTTCAAGTGGCAGGCAAGCGCTCATTGTGATTGGCCTGCCACGGCCAAAAAACAAGCCACCGAACTTTAAGCACTACAAAAAATATCAGTAAACATATAAATACAGGGAAAACATTTAGTTTTTTATATCATTTTAATTTGTAGCACGTGGCACACTCTATGTAGTATCAATACAAATAGAAAAACAGGAATCAAAACATTACTTTTATTTACTTACAAACCTGAAATGTTAATCCCAAATTGAAGTCAAAATACTTTGATCAGTCACAATTTATTTATTTAACTTTTGAGCTACTCTTTCTAAATCTCTAACTACTTATCTTGTAAAACATAAAAACGATAAACCAAAACAACAATATTTATCTCTGTGCATGTACATATCTATCCGTTCAGTTGGAGGGAAAACATATATAGAGACACCAAACAGTTTTGCAATTAATTTCTGGCCAAAAGCAGGAAAACGTTTGTTGTTGCCGCTGCTGCTGTGGCTGCCATAAAAGTTAGATAAATGGTACGAATATAGACAAAAACTTTCGATCACGCAGCCACGCACGCACTTTATGTTGGCGGGGGAGCAAAAGAGGGGGGAGCGAAAGGGGGGTACCGACCGGGTCGAAAGTGGGTTGACACTGGGGCACTCTGGTCGCGGCTTTGTCAGATTTTGAAGTGGCAAGCCAAAAACCAAGAGCAAGCCAAGTGGAGCGACTGCCGATTATTTATAGTTGAGAAACTTTTGTCATTTACGTTCGAAAATTTAAATTTTAATTGAGTTTTCTTCCAATCAGGAAGTGGAGCCAAAGGGGGCGGGGGGAAAAGGGGGCAAGGGGAAACCTGGTTGGATCCCGGGGTCAGGAACTAGTTGCGAGTCGAAAAGTCAGGTGTTTGGGCCGAAACTTTGCTTCTCCCGCCCGTTGGGTTGCTATTTGTTATCGAAAATGTTTTGTTAACTTATTCGCATGAAATTGGCGTTGCCTCCTTATATAAGCCATTTCAGATTACAAGTTTTAACATCGTGGCTTTAATTTCGCCGAGATTGACATAACTAACCCAGATTGATGACACCTTTATATAGAGTATATAAAAGTCAATTCCCTGCCAACCCATTTTTGTTGTTGATTTACCAGCCGAAGTGCACAACACAAAACTTTTCTCGCTGTTGTTGCTAAAATGCCGCAATACCAACAAAAAAAAATAGCAACAACAAAAAAAGAGCGAAAAACTAAACCAAATAGTAAAAAAGGAAAATAAAAATAAAAGTTTGAGTTGCAAACAAGCTAAAAATTGTTGTTTGCCATTGTGGCAAACGATGGTTGTTGTAATTTTGATTGCTTTGTTATGTGCAGAAGAGTGTTGCGAGTGTGGGTGGCAATAAAACGTGAGGATCCCTCCATTCCGCTCCATTCCGTTCGAGACCGGCTAACAGCCGAGCGAACATGTGTAACTCAGCAGAATAGGTTGGCTAATGAAAGCAATAACAATTGTCGGAGCCGCCGTATCAGCAGCATTCGCCATATCATTCAAATGAGGCTCAGACAATAGGAATACTCGTAAATAAATAAAAAGGGTGCCCACGAAAACAGCAATAAAGCAGCTAATAGACTAGATTAAAGTTGTCCCGGCAGCCGGCGCATAAATTGCTCATTGAATGTTTTGCCAGAAGTAAAAACGCTGATGCCAACGAATTTGGCTCGCAAAAAAATGCGAGCAGCTAAAAATGTCTCCGATGACCGTAAGCCATAAAACACACGCGGCTCAATGGCGGCACGGCCAAATGACAGAGTTCATGTATCATTATGGCTTCGCCGGGACTAAGAGCCAAAAAAAAAAAAAAACAAACACTGACCAACAGGACAACAGGACAAAAAGCACTAACCTAAATGTGGAGCCCATTTCGGGTTCACAGCTCAGGTTAAAGTTTATTTTTATACCGCGAAGGATCATGATTCAACACGAGCGGAAAAGGCTTTTCAAAAACCATAATTATCTGCTTTGTACTTTAAATTTAAGTGGGATTAAATAACCGCTTATTTTTAAATATAATATAAACAGTTAAACAAAAAAAAATAGCGATTAGTAAATAGTTTATATGTTTTTATAGCATTTACTTTTATTCACTCAAATAAGTACCTAATGTAATTGATATGTTTATCTTCCCTTCCCACTTCCCTTTTCAAAAATCAAACAATATTAGCACTAATCCCTTTAATAAACGGCGATGACAACTTGCTAAATCCAATTAAGCATCAAAAAATGCTGTCAAATTCAATCATTTTCAATAGTCGGTAATTAAATTGCGCCAGGAGAGGCAGCCATGGCTAAAACTGTGAAACGGGATGCCTCGGCCAGTTGTCATCACACCAAACGCATTACTGGCATTTCAGGGGAAAGGGAAGAGGGGGAAGGAGGGATGGGAATGGATATTCACTCGGCAGATAGAAATGTGGGTGTGCGGCAAAAACCGAAACCACAGAAACAACTCAAAATCGCAATATGACACATATGTGAACAGACGTAGCAAAATACCAAACGAAACGAAATGCAAAACCAAACCGAACCAAACCAAACCGAACCAAACCAAACCAAACTGAACCAATACCCTTGCAAAAAGAAGAGCCAGCATTGCAACGTTAAACATGTAAAGTGCACAAGTGCTGATAGCTGAATTTCTCTGTATTAGTGTGTGTGCGTGCACTAGTGTGTGCTAGTATGCGTTAGTGTATGTGTGAGGGTCCTGGGCGGACTGCATGTTAACGTAGATTTTAACGAATGTTGACAATTACGAAAAATTTGGTTTCTGGTTAAACGAAATGTGGGGCCAACGGGGCGTATGAGTGTTTGCCAAATGTGCAGCGGTATGTGCGTGTGGGTGTGTGTGTGTACACATGTATATGGGTGAAGTTTTCCATTCCGCTCCTTAAATTTTGCTCCTTTTTTTCTTTCTTTGCGTAAGTGAGCGCTGCTGGGAGTATTTGTGGGGATTTTTTTGGGCTGTGGCTCGCCGGAATCGCGGGAGAGAGCCAAAAAAATATCTACGGCCAAAAGAGCACCGAACTTGGCTGAAGTTGTAATGGAGTCTGCGAGGGATTAACCCATCGAAGAGCGGCTCTTCAGAGAGTTCTCCCATCTCTTGCGGAGAAAAGCGGAAAATCTGAGCAAAGAGAACGTGTGAGAGAGCATCCTTCTAGGGCTTGGCATCGCCTGTCTGCTGTGTGTAACATGATGGCCCTCTGAATTCTCCACTCAGGACGAAAAGGATAACAGGGTGACCCGTGGAGCGCAGGCGCTGCGCAGCATCCGCTGCTCCGGCCACATTCCGATGAAATCCCGCCGGCGACAAAGCGACAAAAACGAGGCGGCCAGAGGTCCTGGCCAGGCTACAAAAACAAAAGGCGCGTCAGTACGATTCCTGTGAATATCTATGCAGGACAGCACGGAGCAGGGCCCAAAGGCTCCATGAAAATCAGTGAAAGTCGACTATAAATTGCATTCCAAAACAATCAGTAAACCAGTTAACAGACTAGTAAATATTTTCAAATTTTTTAGACATTAAATTTTAAAAGTGAAAAAAAAATAAATAAAAAATTAAGTTAAGAAGAAATTTGAAGCGGCTGGAGGAAAAACAAAATCAGCTGCCTGGGCGCAGCGGCTTCAGCTGCTCAACGACTGCGCCGAATCGAAAAGTCGGTCAACAGCGAGACTTGGAGACTTGTAAACACTTTTAGGCCATGTGCTAAAAGCAGAAAGCCAAAGCGAGTAGCTCGCTCTGCCGCGCCGAACTGCGTCAGAGATATTGGGCCAGGCCAAAAACAGAAAGGTAAACAAAAACCTGTGTGCGCGTGTGTTTGCATCCATAAAACACCGGCCGCCCGCAAAACCGTCAAGGTCCTTTTCCTTTTGTGGCCCGCCGTGACGTCATCATCATCATGGCCGGCTGCTGCACACGCCCACCCGCCCTCCTCGCCCACATTTGGCGTCACTGCAAGCCGCTCTGCCTGCTCCTCATCCTCCTGCTCCTCTGCGAAACGGTTCAGGCCAATCCCGATGCCAAACGCCTCTACGATGATCTCCTGAGCAACTACAATCGCCTCATTCGCCCAGTAAGCAATAACACGGACACGGTTCTGGTCAAATTGGGTCTACGGCTGTCCCAACTCATCGATTTGGTAAGCAAAATTAATTAATGCAATCACTCGAATTCGGAGTGGGGGGGGATTTTTAATTAAGCCCGGCCGCCTGCGTTTCGCTACATTTGCCGCAAAACAAAAAAAAGCCGCGGGAGAAAAAAGCGTAAAAGTTGCCAGAAACTTTCCGCAGCTCGTAAATAAAAAATGCTAAACAATAAAGAGCAACAAATGGGGCGAATCGAGAGCTGGCAGCAGTGAAATCTATGAGGCCATAATGAAAGAGCCAAGTTAATAGGAATAAAGGATACACATGGAAAAAATAAAGTGATTTAATAAAGAAAATTAATAGTTTATATACAAAATATGAGATAAGAAAGAGGTTTACCTAAGTGGATATCTAATGAATGATATATTTTTAAAAGCATATATTTAATTTTATAATAATTTTGGAATCATATTACTAGTCATTTTCTCTCTGTGTAGCATCCGCGGCATTAAAGTGGCATATTTCAATTCTCAACATCAACTTTATTCCTGTCAGCACTGGTTGCTTTTCCACCGCCAGATAAATCGCTGGCATTTCTCACAACTTCGGGCGAACGGGGAGCACTAGATTTTTATAACGTTTCACTTCAACATTTCATTACATATTACATGGAGTGGGAGGGGGAGGGGGAGGGGAAGGGCAGGGGAAAAGCGTTGTCTGCGCTTGCTTAAAGTTCTACGGCCAAGTCATTTGTCAGGCGGCCGAGACTGCAATTCCGGCTGCAAGGCGGCCACTTTGGCTGTTTGGGTGGCTTCCCTGCCACCAGAAGGCTTAAAAGGTAATAAAACAAACCGAAAAGGGAAAGAAGCCGTAAGCTGACAGCAAAAAGCACATTAGCCGCCGGGGGAAACAGGACGAGCAGTGCAAATGATAAAAAGGAGCGCCTGGCAGAAAAGAAGGCTAAAATGAATAAAATGCAAATCCCACTTGATGCATGGCTGGTCCATAGTCTCTGTACTCCACACTCCACTCCCCTTCCCTCTTATTTTGTGGCTTGTAGAGTTTTTTTCGTATATGTGAGCTTAATTTTTGCAGAATCTCAAAGATCAAATTCTAACGACCAACGTGTGGCTGGAGCACGAGTGGCAGGATCATAAATTCAAGTGGGATCCCTCCGAGTACGGCGGCGTCACCGAGCTTTATGTGCCCTCCGAGCACATCTGGCTGCCCGACATTGTGCTCTACAACAAGTAAGTCGAAAGTAAAAATCACTAAAAGAAAACTATATTAACTAAAATTTTAAAATTTAGAGAAGAATTGTAAACCAATAAGTGATAAATATTTTACCATGATAGCTTTTTTCCCTGATAGTAAAATTTGTATTCTAACAAAGCATGGGTTATTATATTAATTTGTCTTGACTTGAAATAAATTTTGATTGTGTAAATATAGATCAGATCCAAAACTTAACTTCAAAGATAAATATTTTTTACCTTATTATAATAAAGAATTATTACAATATAATCAGGTATACTGACAAGTAAACTTATATTTATTTTCTTACCTAATCATTTCAGTGCCGATGGCGAGTATGTGGTCACCACCATGACAAAGGCCATTCTCCACTATACAGGAAAAGTTGTGTGGACTCCGCCGGCCATTTTCAAGTCGAGCTGCGAGATTGATGTGCGCTACTTTCCCTTCGATCAGCAAACTTGCTTCATGAAGTTCGGTTCGTGGACCTACGACGGCGATCAGGTGAGTGATGGTGCCACTGGCTTCTGGCCTCATATCTCCTACCAGCCGGCAGCTAGTTGAGTCGCAGATAAATGGGCGTGGCCAGCGATTTATGGCCCACCATTTATCTGCGAGATGAGAAGATGAAGAGGTGCGGCGATGAAGAAGCGACTTACACGCCTAAGAAGCGGTAAGAACATCGAAAAGGCGTCGTCGGCATCTCGCAGATTAAAATGTGAGAAATTGTAAAAGTGTAATTGAAACTTGTCTAACCGCTGCACACCCACACACCCACACGCACACCCAGTCAGCCAGTTACTCACGCACACTGTCGCCGAAAGAAAGCGGCACTAACTCACACAGAGGCACTCGACTGTGTGTGTCGCTGTCATAAAAATGCGCGGCCATAAATTAAGCCAAAGTGCGACTTTCAGCAGCCCAAGCAGCTTCCGTTTCCGCTGACCCTTCGCGTTTTGGGCAGAGCGGGGCGGGTGCACTTAGAAAAAAATACAGTACAAAAAAAGCATTTTCTTAACTTAAGTCCAAGAAAAGATTAAAAATAATAAGTACGATACAAGAGCTTCTATTTTAAGGAATAAATTCCTTTGTAGATATTTCTTTGGACATTCTTACTTCATTTAAGCAACAAAAATGTTCCTTGCTAATTTCCAAGGAATTTTTCAAGAGAACCCCTTTTTTCTGAGTGTAGTTCTTGTATTTTTGGAAAAGGGAACCAAACAGAGCCCTTTTTTCACGGGGCGTTTGTCAACGCATTTAAATTTCGCTACTCGTTTAACGACTGCACTTGAGCGAATAGCCAGCGGAGATAGGAATGCGCCAGGTGGCGATTTTCCGGGAAGCGAGTCTTTGAGTTGAACGGAGGCAAAGGACATCCGCTTTAACAGCTCCATCAACGGGGCTTTTCTCGTTCCGCAGATCGATTTGAAGCACATCAGCCAGAAGAACGACAAGGACAACAAGGTGGAGATTGGCATCGACCTGCGCGAATATTATCCCAGTGTCGAGTGGGACATCCTTGGCGTTCCGGCGGAGCGGCACGAAAAATACTATCCGTGCTGCGCGGAACCGTATCCGGGTGAGTTTAGTGGAGTTTAATGCTTCCCATCGCCGACAATTACGCGAAAGCTCTACCCAAACTCATCCCCTCAAAAAATATCTACCCCTCTTTCCTACAACTCTATTTCTATTTTGCTGCTTCCTGGATTTGTGACTGGTTTAATGACTGGTTTAATCAGATATCTTCTTCAACATCACACTTCGACGGAAGACTCTCTTCTACACTGTGAATCTAATCATTCCCTGCGTGGGAATCTCCTATCTTTCGGTGTTGGTATTTTATTTACCCGCTGATTCTGGGGAAAAGATTGCTTTGTGTATCAGTATCCTCCTGTCGCAAACCATGTTCTTTTTGCTGATATCCGAGATTATACCCTCCACTTCACTGGCTCTTCCGTTGCTGGGGAAATATCTCCTCTTCACCATGTTGCTGGTCGGACTGAGTGTCGTCATCACGATTATCATACTGAACATCCACTACCGGAAGCCGAGCACCCACAAGATGCGACCCTGGATCCGGTCGTTCTTCATCAAGCGGCTGCCCAAGCTGCTGCTGATGCGGGTGCCCAAGGACCTACTGCGTGACCTGGCGGCCAACAAGATCAACTACGGCCTCAAGTTCAGCAAGACCAAGTTCGGACAGGCGCTGATGGACGAGATGCAAATGAACTCCGGCGGCTCCAGTCCGGATTCCCTGCGCAGGATGCAAGGACGCGTCGGAGGAGGCGGGTGCAATGGCATGCACGTGACCACAGCCACAAACAGGTAGGATGTCCGAAAGGGATTTGCTGGGGTAATAAACTCCCTTTGGGGTTTAATCATATTTACAGTAGAGAAAAATGGAAATGGATATGAATAGAAAAAGTGGAAAATGCAAGTTAGATAGGGGGAGAAGAAACAGTTTTATGAAAAGAAAACATCCATCATAGAAACTTAATACTTTTCACAATGATAATCCAGAACTATTTTATTTAAGAATAAAAATGGGAATCTAGCGAATATGAAATATTAAAATCCTTTTTGAATAAATATTTAGTCCATTAATAGTTAAATTATATGCAGCAATAGTTGGAGCATTTAAAATATGTATTCTGCTAAACAAAAATGAAAATTTAAACGTTCGAAAAATCAATTCATTTTTACTTATTCATTACTAATAGCCTTTTCAATTAAAAATTAATTATTTATTTCACCATAACAAATCGCATACCTTTAAAGAGCTCAAAAAGTGAAGTCAAAGAATTAAAGAAAGAAAATTAGTGAACTCTGTTTGCTGAATGTTTTTCCGCACCCACGCACCCGGGAATATCCTGTCGCAGGAGCCTTTGATGTCAACTTATCCCGACTTACTTACAGATTCAGCGGCCTGGTGGGGGCTTTGGGCGGCGGCCTGAGCACTTTGAGCGGCTACAACGGACTGCCGTCGGTACTGTCCGGGCTGGACGACTCTTTGAGCGATGTGGCCGCACGCAAGAAGTATCCTTTCGAGCTGGAGAAGGCCATACACAACGTCATGTTCATACAGCATCACATGCAGCGGCAGGACGAGTTCAATGCGGTGAGTCGCTCCCTCCGGCAGCTGATTGAATTTTTAATTGGAAATTCCGTTTGTCCACCGACGGCGAAGGAAACCGCAAAAATCGCTCTTGCCTGCAGTTTGTCCTTTCCGCGTTCATCCTGCCGATCCTCTTTCCAACCAGCACTCGTTACTGGCTATTCTTTTTGCCGACTTATTTAAGCTTTTGCCATATTTGCACTTTAAGACAGCGCCGGCAAATCCACTTTTAATTGCTTTTGTTCAATTGACTGGCAATTGGCGTGTGTTCGCCACCCAAAAACACTCCTCATCTCTTCATCGGCGGGTTTTTGGCAAAACGTTTCAATCAAAAGAACCCCCCGCCTTCGAATGTTCTTTGTTGTGTGATTGCGGCGTCTGGTTTTCCCTCCGAATTTCCCCATCGCCCCAGCGAGCTTTAGCTCTCCCTTTTTCGGTTTGCCCTTTTGGGCCATTTATTTTTTCGGGCTTTGCTTTGTTGGCGCTGCGATTTCGCTCTTTGATTGATAACCGAACTGATGCCGGGCATAAGTAGATTAAGTGCAGTGCTTAATGAAAGCCAATCGCTCAAAGTGTGGGCTTAAAGCGCAATTAACCGTCCTGCATGCGGGCAGCTTCAAGTTGGCCAGCAGCCAAAAAAGAAAGCATTTCGGTTTTTATTTCATTTCATTTCATTTATGCCAGAGCCTCTTGAAACCATAAAATGTATACTTTTCATGTGATTAAAACCCATTATGAAATGGTGTATAATCTTTTCTGCATTTATTTAACAGGAAGATCAGGATTGGGGCTTTGTGGCAATGGTGATGGATCGCCTGTTCCTCTGGCTCTTCATGATTGCATCCTTGGTGGGCACCTTTGTGATCCTGGGAGAGGCTCCTTCGCTCTATGACGATACCAAGGCCATCGATGTTCAGCTATCCGACGTTGCCAAGCAAATCTACAATCTAACCGAGAAGAAGAATTAAATTCAACAAGAACATTAACTTAAGACAATTTCCTAGTTTAATGCAGTGTTTCAGCAAATTAAAATACGATATAATAAAAAACGTTGGCCCAAAAGCAGCCAAGCAAAATGCTGAAATGCAAAGTGTTCTTTTACCAGGCGGGTTTTCCCCCCACTGAAACTGCATGCCAGGAGGGTTAAAGCAGAAATTATTACAAGAAAAATGCTATGGAAAATACTCGTACGTAAGAGGATGCCAACGGCTTTTGGCCAATGCTGCACGCCCCTTTTAAGCCGCCTTTTTGCCCCGGCGGCTGTCAAAACTATTTGCCAAGCATGTGTATCCAACAGCCAGCTGCTCCAGCTGCATTCTCCTCAACAGCCAGCCAGCTTTCCTATTCCAAGATTTCTACGGACAGGAGAAGGAGTAAGCCTGGCCTTTTATTTGATAACTGGAAAATTAACCTTTTGAAAATGCGGCAAATGCGCAGGCAGCGGATGCCAACTCATGGGGAAGATATTTCATGAGTCGATGCAGCACATGGCTTTTAGAAATATAGGTTAATAATTGAGGGGTATGTGCATGTAATCCAGTATAATCGCTGGGTTATTAAAACAAGAAAAACCAGCCGACCAACCAAGATAATTTCCGGAAGATTGCATCAGTTCTAGTTAACAATTTTCAGTGAGAGTTAAATAAGCTCTTAAAGTTAAATATCTTAAATAAATTGAATATTCTCCACAAAAATTTTAAATTAAATTGAAGCTCAAATAAAATACATATTTTATTTTTCCCAGACAATAAATTAAGTTGTACAAAATGTAATGAGCTAGGAGAGTATTTAAACCACATAAAACTGAAATCAGGAAACTTTTATTGCCGCTTTACCACTAAAACTAATTTAGAATGCAGTGTTGAGTAGAAAGAAGAGATGGATATGAATCAGCAGCCTTATGAAGCCGCATCAAGGAAGAGCAAAAGGAGTAAAAGAGCCCCAGGGATCTGGGCGAAAAATACCAGATCCAGCCAAAACAATTTCTCAGCGCTCTTTTCTAGTTGTGAGCTGCAGGCATCCATTCTGGCTGACTGGCTGACTGACTCGCTGGCTGGCTTAAAGTATGCGGCAATCAAAAAATGTCTGCAAAACTATTTGCTACAACTGCAAAACTATTTCTATACAAATGTCACAATTTCTTGTTCGTCGTCGTGCATACGGAATTTCAACTTGCATTTGGCTTGTTGTTGGTTTTGCTTTTGCTGTAGCTGCCTGTTTGTGAATGTCATTCAAATTGATGGGCAACCGAGTGGCAGGCGAGCCGCACAACCCCTCCAACTGCCACGCCCCTTTTTGGGAGGGGAAAGGGAGGAGAGGGAAGGTAAGGGGGACTCCCAGCCGTTGGCTGTCAATGTCAGTTTGCGCAAAGCAATTGCAATTTCTTACCGACTGCAACAAAAGGAACGGCGATGGAGAATGATGAGCGTGAGTAGCGCTGGCTCAGCTCAACAAGTCCTGTTGCACTTCAGGATCCTGCCGGCTGCTTCCAGGATGCCCCGCAGGATGTTCGGATGTGCATATATTTTGCATACGCTTCCCCACTATCGGGAATCACTTAACGCACCCACTCACTCCTCCATTCAGTCAGTCAGTTTGGCAGTCAGTCAGTGCGTCAGTTTGGCAGTGCGTCAGTCGCTCATTCATTCATTCATACATTCATGCATTCGCCTTGGCTTCGGTTCCGCTCCACTGTCATGTTGACAAGTTCAATATGCTACAACCACCCACTTTTGGATCCACATCCACATCCTCATCCACATCCACACATTCACCCACTGACTGAGTGACTTTGCCAGCTTGTCGCTTTTCGCATTTCGTGTGTGCGTGTGCATCATTTTCGCTACTTCCCGTCTACTTTTCACAGTTCAGCGAGCTGCGCTCCTCCGCTTTTCCCGCTTTTCCCACTTTTTCCACTTTTTTCCACTTTTTTTTTGTTTCTCGGCTCCAATTTAAATTCATATTATTTGTGCTTCACATGTGAAAAATACAGCACAGCGATGGCTGCTGGCTGCTGCAGCAAATAAACAAAAGAGAGCTCGGATTTATGAGGCAGTCGGATGCTCTGCAGGCAAAAAGGAGCAAAGAGCCAAAAAAGCTATAGAAAATATTACTATACGCAAAAGGGGGGAGTGGTTTTTACAACAATTTGAAAGTGTACCGAAATATTCTTTATCTTGTGGAAAGAGGATAATCTCTTACGGAGTAAAAGCCAATAACTATTAATCTTCTCATCATTTAATATTTTGTACTCAGTAAAATTGTTTACGTATTTATAAAAGGATCTTATTTCTATCCACATTTCAATCAATGTTTTTGCCTAAGCAAACAGTAAACAAGATTGAGTTTTCACAACTTTCCCAAAAGTTGATTGCCATGTCGAATTCTGCAAACTCAAACCTGAACAAAATGTTTTCTGCAATTCATTTCATTTTGTGTTCCGTACAGTTGGTGCAAAATATTTCCCAATGCCGCACAGTTTTTGGTGCACATTCAATATACGTATATATACCAGTGTATATGTTTTAAGAATTTATTTTTATTCCCAGCTCGAGGTTTTTGGCTACCCATTTTTGAACTGGTTACAGTTCGTTTTATTTTGGGTCCGCCCACGTATAATTCATTGCATACTTTTTGGCATGCAATTTCATTTCCCGCTGACAGCAGAGTTTGCAATTCGTTTGATTTACCATTTATTTATGTCATCTGACAAATTCAATTTGATTGCAGAATGCAAAACATTGAGGTCGCCGTCGAAGGGGAGTTGCATTTGCTGTTTTCCACACTTTAAATGCAATTTCTGGACCGGTCAGGCGAAAGTTTTTCACACAATATTCTCTCCTCTCTTCGTTGCCGCCATTTCGTTCCGGCTCAGTCACTCTGATATAATTAACGTTAACGGAGTGGCAGCCTTTTAGGTTGCAACTGGCCACGCCCATTGGGCAAACGCCCCCGCTTTTCAGCTACCCCGGAACGATTAGGGCCGCGTGTCACTTGTCTTATTTTATCGCAAAAACAATTTGTCGTCGCCTGTGGCTGCCGACTTGCGGCAGAAGTTGCCCTGACAGCGTTTTCCGTCTTGGGTGGCAAATTTTATAAACGATTTATAAAAGTCATTGCCGCAATAGTTGGCAGGCAAAACTCAAGCACAAACTCGATTCGTTGACATGTGAAAACTTTCGACGTTTTCAATAATTTATGAATTGTTCGCTCGTAAAGTTGCAGCAAACACACACACAAACACACACGAACACACATACACATGCACACCCAGATCACATCCAATTAGCATATTAAATTAAATAAATATTAAACTAACTGCCAGAGGGCCCCGACCAACGGCGAAGCCGCAAAGCGCACACAGCCACCCAAGCCCACATCACGTATACGCCATGCAGTCCAACGTTGTCAATACTTAAAGTGATCAGACCCCCTAGCACACACACACACACACACAGCTACAGGGAGAGGGTGGCTAAACTGTCATGCAGTTAGTCATTCACTCATCAAACAATCCACCCAGCAACCCAGTCCCCAAGGATTATATGCCGGCGGCTTTTACGAGTCCTGTGCAGAGCCTGCTGGTCTGCTCATAATTTATGCCACTCATCTTAATAATTTTGGGCGCAAAACTTCAACTACGAGAGCGTGTAGCAGGAGCAGAAGGATCAGGAATCAGGAGGAGGGAGCTTCAGCAGGAGGAGGGAGCAGGAGCTGCAGGACCAACAGGAGCAGCGGCTGGCAACCCAAATATTTTAAACATTTACTTAGCCAACATAAAAGCAGTTGGTTGGCAGGTGCAGGGAGGTAGAGCAGCCAGTTCAAACGGGGGCCAAGCGCTGGATGACCCTTTGATCTAGTTCCATTCGCAAATTGATTCACTTTATCAACTTTCATCTTCAGATGAATACTCTCGCAGCCGAGTAAAACTTTCAATTGCTTTATTTAGGGCTATTTATTATTAAAGCATGCACAGAATATTCAAGAGTTGTTTTGGTTAGTTCTTGGCTTAAATGCAACTACTTGTCATACTAAGATTGTTTGTTGGTATTAGGAGTTTTCTTGAAAGTAAGAAAAAGTAAATGTAAGAGTAATGCTTATAAAAACGCTCCCAACTAAGTTAAGTAATTAAGTTTTTCTCGCTTTTGTACTTTGGCTTTTATTCCTGTATATTTATTTGTACTTTATTAAAGCCAGCTTTATTTTTGCAAAGTTTATTTTAGTTCAGATTTGGAATTCCATTCCGTTTTGCCATCCCTGGACGTCGGTACCCAGTTGGCTTTACCTTTGCCTTGGCATATTTCATCAGCATCGTCATCATCTTGTCACACAGCATCTTTTACATTACCAAACACACAAACCTGCCCCATTTGCTCCCCACCGCCTGTTCCCATCTTGTGATCCCATCCCCATGCCCATTTGCTGTTTGTTTTAGTGCCAATGTAGCATAGTTTTATGCATATCCAAGTAGTCCTATGTGCAACGTCTTTGTTATGGCATAACTTCATGTGGGCGGCACCGGGCATGCATGTAAATGTCCATGGGGGAGTCCTTTTGGAGAGGGGAATGGAGGTAAGAAGGACTCGCTCGGTTTCGTGACTCGCTCTCAGGAAAATTCTACTTTACACTTTTCCCCCGGCAATCCAAACGTAAGCGTTTTGACTTCACCTGTGTGGAATCATCTGCTTAACTGCTGAAAAAGGTGTAGTCTAAAAGGAACCTACCTTTCCAACTGCATAACCAAATGAAGTCACCAACCGAACAGCTTTGTCAGACTTCAATTAAGTCACACGTTAGCTTAAATACTTGGAAAATCGGTATACAATCGTTAACTACTGTTCATGATGTTCTAACCTCTTTCGAGACTTTAAAAACTGTTGCCAGAGAACGGGTTTAAAATGAAGTTCCGAGTTTCCCGATTGCAAGCTGCCAACTTTCACTGCCGGCGCAAATGCTTAAGCTTACGGAATGACTTCAGGTGTCATTAAAAAGGCACTTGCAGCCATTAGACTTGCATTTACCCCAGTCCACACTCACACACACACTGGTACACTAACACACACACC